GCCGAGATTCGGAAAAAAAATACAGCCGGTTTTTTTTTTTCGTCGTTCGAACGATCGAACGGAGCGGGGTCACGCGATCGGTAACGCGGCGAGTTGTTTTTCACGACGATACATCCGGGAAAGCGACGCTCGCGCGTCGCTTCACATATCCCGCCTCGCCTCACCGCGCCGAGTGTTTCGAAAATCGTCCACGTCGATATATCGCGGACGAACGTCGCCGTCGAGCGATCGGATGTTTTAACGCGCGCGCACCGTCCAAACTCCAACCCGACGCGGCGAACGATGACGCGCCGACGCGCAGGAAACTCTCACCGATATCACGTACGCCGAGCGGTACCGCGATCGCCGCCGATCGCACCTAAAGCGCGGGCCCGTTTTGTCTCTCGCGCTCGCGCATGCGGCGCCGCGCCGCGCGCACGTTTTCCGTCGCGTTTTCCGCCGCCGCAAGATCGGCAAGACACCAAGACGAGACACCTGAACGCGTGCGCGCGCGCGCGCCCCGCGAGAGCACCACGGTACCACCGCGTAAGGACGAAACCGACACGACACTGGATGAGAACGGGCAACAGGTTCGTCGGCTTGCCCCCGAGGAACGCGGCGCAGGTAACGGCGGGAGGGAGGGGAAGGGGCGGAGGGGGTCGGAGGGAGGCCAGCCAGGCGAGCCAGGTAAGCCGCCATTGCTCCTGACGCAGCATCCAACCTGGCAGTGGCGTAATTAACGGGACCCGTGGGGGCCCCCATTAGTATCTCTCGCCGAAGGACGGGGACTCCTAACGTCTTTTTTTTTACTGCACAGAGCGATATTTTAAAAGCCGCATTTGGCTCACAGTCGTGTAAAACAGCCCGCGAAATTGTTAATTACATATAGGATAATCATTTTGTCGGATTGTGTAGAGATATGGTTCTCACTATTTGTCATACTTTTTATCGCAATCTGTAACGATTAAGCGGAAAAATTTTTGAAATTGAACAGCAAATTCTGGCTTCGTCGGCTTGATTTCGACGGCTCGCAGTTAAAAAAAACTGCAGCTACAGCTTCTTCAGGGAATCGAATTTTCAAAGTTCGAGGAAACGACTTTAATTTCCTGTTTAGTCACGTTTTTACTCAATTTGAATCCCGTAAGGAATTGCGGATACAAAAAAAGGGAAAAGATCGAGGTTGATTGGAAATCTCCCCAGGAGTTTACGTCTCCACATCCAGTTGTCATTACTTCCGAGATACTCGGCGCACCTATAATATAATCCGCACGTCGAACGTAATCAATCGTATTGTTTGACATAGGCGCCTCAGATAGGAAGTGCCGGTTACGTCACTGCGGCAACAGGTTGTTGCCAATGGGAGCTGCCATGAATGAGCGAGCGAGCCGAGCCGAACCGAGCGAGCGAGCGAGCTCGTTTCGTGGCAGCGCGCGGCCTGCCCCTGGCATTAGGCAGAATCGAGTGCGATCTTTCTCGTTGCTGGATTACGCCGTCGTTCATAATCCGCCGTCGTTCGATAAATACACAAAATCTCGCCCGAGTCACGCTCGTTTACTCTCTCTCTCTCTTTTTCTCTTTCTCTTTCCTTCTCGGTGGGTGGCTTATCGACGACGACGGAACGCCATGTCGATGGATTCTCACGATCCGCTCCGCGACGCGCGATCCGGAAGAGCCGGATTATTATCAAAATCTGCAGCGGGCATCATGTCAGCTGCGTCAAAAGATTCTTGTCTCAGAGAGAGAGAGAGAGAGAGAGAGAGAGAGAGAAAACTCAGTTTTTTTAACAAAATAAAAAACTAAAATATTGTTCGCTCTTTAGAGAGAAAAACTATAACTAGAGATTGTATTTTCGTAATTATTTTACGACAGAATGTAATGAAATATCTGTAATATATATCCGAGTCCCTCAGAACAGTATTTTTTTCCACTTTTCAAACACAAGCGTTCATTTCCGAAAAATGTATCCTCTAAGGGAGTCCGAGAATATTCATTTCCGCCGTTTCTCCGGCGCCGCGGTCCTCCTCGCCGCGCAAGAGGAATTCCTAACTGCGTTTTTCACGCGGGCGAGAAAAATGGATTTTGCAGAGTCGGGGGAGATAAAGAACGTGGAGAGCAGGTAGAGCGTGTCGGAGGAACGCGAGGAGGCAGGAGGCCCAGCTGATAGTGCACGTAACGTAATTGCCATCCATCGCGCGCCGAAACCGTGACGGAGGATTGAGAAATGCGAGTGGAGCGCGCGAAACGACGCTCCTCGCTCTGTCGTGCGCAACACAACAACGGAATAGGCAAGAAATATGGATACGCGCGACGGTCGTTTTCCCCTCGCGACGAAACGTAACGAACGAGAGGCTCGCTCGCTCGCTCGCTCGAAGAAAATGATTTGCGGTATCGGCCGGCATTCCGCTCGAAAGCGACAGCGTTACCTTACCTGGCGTTACTTTACTTTTAGGTCGTCGCGATCGTCACGCTCATTTAAAGATACGTATACATTACGCAAAGTGTCTCTCGGAGAAAGAGTGGACGTGTACAATCGGACGAACATATCGGTTGCAACACTTTTTTTTTAAATAGGTTTTGTAACGCACTAATATTTTGCAAATGCGGACCACGATTGATGTACTGTCTCTAGACTAAAGATAGTACATCATCGTGGTTCGCATTTGCAAAATTCAGTTAATATACGGAAAGAACGATTTTGTTGAAAGGTCTAAAAATTTTGCTAAAAACAGATCTGAAAATATTTTTTTGTTGAATCATCAAAATAATTTGTTGGAATGTCAAAGCTAATAAGCATTGCTATGAAACGTTTTGATATTCTAGCAATCACTTTAACTATCGCACAAAAATTATTTTCAGATCTGGATTCAGCAAAATTGCTCTTTCCGTGATATAAAATATTAAATTATATATATTAAATATATACTCTAAAAACCTATGAAAAAAAAGTGTCGATATATTCACGACTGTACCTGATCTTTTTTTTGAATCTCTATTTTATCCTGCAATGACTTATCAATTGAAATGAAGATTGGAAATGAATTCATCATACTCTTCGGGATTTTCTCGACGAGCGCGCGAAGTGAGAGTTTTGTCAGTATTCATCATTGAAATTCGTGAGATTTCACGATGAGCTTTCCCAGACGGTCGGTGCAACATCTCAACAAGACGCCGAGTATCATGTGCGCACAATAGTTTTCACGTGCGTCATTTAAATCAACATGAAATATCTCTATTTTTCATCGTCGTCAAAGAAACAACACAGCCTCGAACCGTCCGAGATAATTATTTTATCGTGAAGAATCTTATTACGAGGAAACACACGCGTTTCTTAATGATATATATATATATTTTTATTTATTTATTTATTTATTTAGAAACAAAAATAAATCGATTTTTTTTAAAAGATGTTTCATCTAAAAAACGTGTCTCTTACTTTGATGCAGGGCTATGCCGTAGATTTTAAGATTACGTTTACACGAATTATTTACGTGAAATCTACGTGATGTTTATATGGTCTTTTTAACGTAGACAATCTAGACTTGTAAACTATGTAGACTATTGTAGATTGTATCACTAATATATACAATGTAAAAGAATTAAATTGTAAAGCAGTCTCTACTCACAGTAAAAATGTTTTTAGGAAAAAAAATTTAGTATTTAGAAACAGGCTAAAGATACCACGACATCTTTAGGATATCTTGATGTATTTTGAACATTAATTTAACTTTGAGATTAAGATTAAGAACGTAAAAGAGAATTTTTCTTACTCAAATGGTAATTTTTTTACATAAAAATTGTATGTATTTATTAAATGACTAAATATGTAGTCTACTGTCTACATAGATGACACTTATACAATAGTTTACGTTGTCTACACGTAAACGTAGAGTATTATACATATTTTACGCGTAGATGCACAATCCTGCTTTGATGTACACCGCAACTGTTCAGAGTTCGTCAAAATCTGAGAACATTTGCGCGTGTCTCTTTGCCGGTAACGAAAAAAAATTGCAATTCGTACGAGCTATATCTTACAAATTTTGAATTTATAATTTACTCGAATTGGAGTAAAATTATACTCGAAATGGAATACAATCGATCAGGGTTGTGCATCTACGCGTAAAATACAATACTTTACGTTTATGTGTAAACAACGTAAACTTATATAAAGTGTCATCTCTGTAGACAGTCAGTAGACCACAATTTATTCATTTAATAAATACATATAATTTAACGTTTATGTAAAAAAAAACTACATTTGAATAAGAAAAATTTTCTGGTTACATTCTTAATCTTAATCTCAATAAATTAATGTTCAAAATATATCAAGAATATTCTAAAGATGTAGTATCTTTAGTCTGTTCCTATAGATACATTTTGGACATTTCTATTGTGGGTAGAGACTGCTTTATAATTTAATTCTTTTATATTGTATATATTAGTGATACAATTTACAATAGTCTACATAGTTTACAAGTATAAATTGTTTACGCAGCAAAAAGACCATGTAAACATCACGTAGATTTCACGTAAATAATCCGTGTAAAGTAACTGCCCGCGGTATTAGTGTGCCTGTACGTCCCTATTAATGTGCTTTTATATTTAAATAAGTCATAAAAATAAACTGACAAGTAAATAGACAAAGTGTTTTTTTTTATTAAGTTAAAATATTAATTTAATAAAAAAAACCACTTTGTCTATTTATTTATACCAGTTTATTTTTATGACTTATTTTATTAAAAAATAAACTGACAAGTAAATAGACAGTGTTTTTTTTTATTAAATTAAAGTATTAACTTAATAAAAAAAATACTTTGTCTATTTATTTGTACCAGTTTATTTTTATGACTTATTTAAATATAAAAGCACACTAATAAGGACGGTTACCTAGACGTAATCTTGAAATCTACGGCACAACCCTGAAATCGATGGCCGAGCGATCCGCGGCGTGATCCTCGTCGTTGCGCCGTCTCGCCGTGAGATGGCAGCAGCGTACGCGAGTGGCTCTTTTTCTTTTCTTTCTTTATTCCCCTCGCGATCCGCGACAGCTGTCAAGCTTGTCAAAAATGCGTACTCGTGTCGCGGCCTCGTCTCGCGTTGCGGAACAACGTCGTACGTCGCGAGGTATAATACGTCGGTGATAAGCGCCGAACGCGTGTGTGTACGTGCGTAATCGCGATGGCCCGTGTTGCGACGCGCGGCAACCGCAGACTCTGCCCCTAAATGCGCGTCGCGCCCGCGTTTGTTCCTCGATACATACAGCGGCGGAGCAGCCCGATTACGCGAGGAGGATAACCTCGCGGACTCGCCGGGATCTTTGCCACGTATAAATCCGAAACCCCAGCCGCGTCCCACGGCCTGGCCATGGCGTGCCTGCTGCAGAATCAGGAGAACGTCCACCTGAAAATACCGTCGGTCGACACGGTGGACGGGGTCACGTATTACTGCATCGAGGTTGGGATCGCGTCGATTAAATGGACCGTCAAGCACAGGTGACATTGACACTCTCCGTCTCCTCGTCGCGAGCGAGGCATATTTTGCGCTCCGTTTAACTCGTAACCTGTTTGTGTGTGTGTATGCGTGAGCGTGTATATAAAACGCTCAAGATTATATTTTTTATTTATTTACAAAAAAAAATCTATGTATAATAATAATTAATGTATAAATATATAATAGTTAATTAAAATTAAGAGAATAATTCAAATGAAGAGAATAAGACACGAAGCGCAAAATTTATCATGTAATTTATCATAATACGAAAAGAGAAAAGAAAAACTGTGGCTTCTCTTTGTGTCGAAGGTACAGTACGTTTGCGACGTTACACGAAAACTTTGTCTCCAAATACTGCGTCGAGAAGGACATATTTCCACCGAAAAAGCTCATAGGCAACAAGTGTGAGGTCTTCGTGGAGAAACGTCGGCAGAGTCTCGAGATATATCTGAACGCCGTTTATAATTACTTGAAGAAGGCGATGCCCAGGGAACTGGCCCTGTTCCTGGATCTGCACGAGTACGATATATATTTCCTGGTGCAAAGCATGGCGTTGGAATTTTTTGTAACGGGCGACACTTTGCTACACGCCTCGACGAGCTACAAATTCAATCCCGTACAGGTAATTGAAGTACAACTCAGTTTTTAATTGATATGAAGATTTATATCGCGCAAAAAAAAGACACTATAATATTATCTATTTTTATTTTCAGCTGTATGCGATCAGCGAAAGATTGAAACAGCCGTGCCCGTTGTTGGAAGTCGTGGACAAAGAGTATGACTTCAGTCACGTTTTGGACTTTAATTCGCGTTTAACCAGCCTCACGATCGAGGGGAGCTCGGAGCCCTACAAAACCAGCAACATCTATCCGTCCTCCTTGTCCATCGAACTGTCCACCTTCAAAAATGTGCAATACCTAACGATCGATCGTTATCCGGTCGATAAGATTTACAACATGGGAAACCTCCGAGACACCGTGACCACGTTGAGAGTCACCAACACGAAGCTCAGGAACATCGTGGAACTGGCTATGTGCGAGGAGGTGCACAAGAGCATCGAAAACGCCAACGACTCGCACGTGTGGATGAAGGTGACGCACTTGGATCTCAGTGACAATCGTATAGAAGTCATAGACGAGGCGATCAAACTTCTGCCGCACATAGAGTGCCTCACGCTGAACAACAACCACCTGTCGGAGATCTCGAACGTGACGCTGTTGCCGAGATTGTCCCAATTGTATCTGGCGTCGAACAACTTCACCAGCCTGCCGGACGATCTTCACACGAGGCTCGGTTACATCGTTTACATCGACCTGTCGCAAAACAAACTCACGTCGCTCGCCAGCTTCTCGAAGCTGTACTCGCTGGAGGGACTGGACGTGAGCTGCAACCGCATCGAGAAGATCGAGGAGGTGAAGCACATCGGTCATCTGCCGTGCCTGGAGAACCTGAGGCTAACGGGCAATCCGGTGTCGACGATAGTCGACTACAGAGTCAAGGTTCTGGAGCCGTTCGGTAAGAGAGCCGCCGACATTTGTCTGGATAACGAAAAGCCGAATCAAAAGGAACTCGATACCGTGTCGGTTCATCAGGCGTTGCGTATCGCGAGGGAGGGTAAATCGCCGTCGTTCACCGCGTCCGACGCGCCGCTTTTCTCCGCTGAGATTCCAAGTATATAGAAATTTTTATCGTGATACCTACTCTCCTCTCTTATCGCGCCAACCGTGTTACGTGAACAAATTTAGATAAGAAATGAAAAAGTTTTATACGGTATGTAGATTTTATCACACTACGAGACTGATCCTTTCTTCTCGATAAAAACCGTAATATTATTTTTGGTCTCGATTTATTTGTACATTCGCTTTTTTTTACTGATTCACAATATATATGGATAACGTAAGAACGACGTGCTTTTTACTTTTACCACGATTCTTCAAAACATACCGAAATAAAAAAAAAGGAACGATAAGTTTTAAAAGTTTCGTGTTGTAATCTCATGTATAAAATCCGAGATGAAACACGGGTTTTTTTTGCAAGTAAAAAAAACACTTCATATAATCCATGACAAAATTATATGAATCTGATGTCATCTCATTAAAATGAATTTGTAAAATTTCTACTGTTTTATACATATCATAGATTTTTATCGATTGTCTATAACAATGAGTTAATCCATGTATCTATTGTATTTTACATATAATATATTTGATTATCGAATTTGTTTGATGTTATTTTCTTAGAGTTTTAGTGCGAATAAATTGCATATTATTTATTCCGAAATAATGTTTAAATCTTTTCAATTTTAAAGAACAATACTAACACAGATCTTATGTAACAATTTTATAATAATTTAACATAGAAGCAATTTATCCGTGTATAAAAAATATTTTGTTAATAAAGACAAATAAATTCTGTGATAATATGTGTATCTTGTCAATACCATGTTAAAAAATTATATTTTATATACAACATCGCTTTGAATTCAAACTTGTATTTATCATGTGAGCGGAAATATTTCTCACCTTGTATAATGCGAGGAAGAGCATAATATTTTTGTATTTTTTTCATCGTCAGGAATATAAATTCGTTGTATTGTTATATTTATCATAGATTTTTATTTAAATTCGCATTACCTTTAAATATTATGTTTATCGTATGTTTCATGTACGTTGTGTGTATGTGTGCGTGTATGTGTGTTGAGTGTGTGTAGCGCATATTTCGGAAATATTAAAATATTCATAAATAATATCAATATAATGGTCATATATTCTAAGCATTGTGTTATAGTCTTTTAACGTACACCTAAAAACTAACATACATAAGTTAACCGTTGCAAACGGCTGTTTTTCCGTTGATTTCGACTCGTTGATACGCAAGTACACAAGTAAGCAATACAGCTCACAACTTCTCTCAAAAAAAAAAAAGTCTAACTAAAATCATACATCGTTTTCAAAAAGCAATGCACATTTCTGAAAAAAAATTACACTATTTCTACGAGGGAATCGGAAATATTTTGTGTATCAAAGGAATAAAGCTGCTCGTACGAAAAAGGAAAAAGATATTTTATCAAACACATTTTTTAGCTTCTTTTTGACATTTATAGCACTTCACCAACATTGCTCTACTTTTGATTTCTTTTTTTCTTTTTTAATCTTTCGTCGAAAGTCGACACGCAGCCAGGCACTTGGCGTGGTCGCTTTTTCAGCTATCCATTTAAAATTGGTCAAACTTTCTCGCGCGAATGGATCAACTTCTTTAAGTTACTATAATAGATAATAGTAGAAGAATATGAGGACTTACGAAGGAAAGGTCCAATTTTTGAGGAAGTCGGATGGTGGGAGGAATTCGAGGCAGAAAATTAGAAATCGACTTTCCGCAATTCGTCACTTGAGAGGGAGGGGGAGAGATTACTGGTGTGCGATCGGAATCAACTTCTCGCCCGAGCCAATCGCCGGTAAGGGTGCCTCGACGGTAAGGACACCGTCCTTACTCAGGGAAGACTTGATGCTCTCAGGATTGGTTCCCTTCGGCAACAGGAATTCCCGATTGTACTCTCTGTACACAGATTTGCTCTCCGTCTTCTCCTCGTGCTTGGCGTGGACCTGGACAAACAAAAGTTGCATTGCGTTAAATGAGAAAACAGTTACATGAGGAACTTCACAATTATCGCTATTAATTCTGTTCATTGACAATTAAACGTAATCGAATAGTAAAGCGTTATATAATAATTTTAGATCTCATCATACTATTAATTAGAAAAATCACAGATTATGTTACATAAGCTAAGTTTTAATTTAATAACATTTTATCTTTATGTATATAAAATTATAAAATATTGTATGTATAGAGAAAGAAAATTTTTTTAATAGAAGTTTTTCTCCAAACGATATTGCAGCTACCTTTTTAGCTTCTATCGCCATGAAATTAAAATATGCATTGTGGCCAATAGCCAAGTTACGCCGTAATGCCATAATACGGTGACTTTATTCTTGCTAAGTTAATGGGTATTAATAATTCGTCCGCGGTCCCCTCCTCAGTATGCGTCACATGTTCTTATACACTGACATGAATTTACAAGTTCTCATTAGTATTCGCCTCGCGTGCGCCTAAAGTACTACGTCGCGATTGATTTATCATTACGAATGCATCGGATTAACAACCCCCCCCCCCCGACTTTGCTCATTCCTCGGCCGTACAAACGTTTCTTTTCTCCTCCCCTCGAGAAACTCGAGGCTCGCGGAGCGGCAAAAAGAACTGTCGCCTTATCGGATGACCGAATTTTTACGAGCGACAATCGCAAGGAGAGATATCACTTGATAAGTGTCCTTCGTGACTCCGTAACGAGCAATTTCCCCGAGTGATCTAGAAATAGGGCAACGTGAGAGTACCCCGTAATAGTGACCGTATTACTCATGCGTTCGACCCATGAGTCATGCTCCGCTTCGTTCGACCATGCGTAGGTTTCGTCTCCTTAGACGCGTAAGGTTAGTATAACGTGTCAGAACATCGATCTCATTTTTCCGCCAGCCGATGCACACGCATTACAAAAGATGCATCGACTTTATCATACGAAGAAACACACACTTCGTATGTGTTTCTTCACGGACGTACTTCTGTATGTCCTCTGTGACAAATCTGTACTTCATAAAAATAACTTTCTTGAATTTTTCGAAATTCGTCAAATACTTTTATTGTAACTCGATCTAAACACGACTCTATGATATACAAATTAGAAATAGATAATTATAAATTTCATATTCATAATATAATTAATATAATTAATATTCATAAAATATTAATTATAAAAAATAAATATGAAATTTATAGTCGAGAGCGCCTTCAACGGCTGCAGGATCTTGGTGCCTAATATGGTAATTTCTATGAATTTCTTAATTAATTCCATTATTCAGCCGTTTCAAGCTGCGCGCCGAAATTTACAATGCTGTAGATTTTAGTTTTTAAATGAATACATTTCTCTTTTTAATTCAGAAGTTTAAAAAATATTATGTACAGTATTTCTTAATTCCATTATTCAGCCGTTTCAAGCTGCGCGCCGAAATTTACAATGCTGTAGATTTTAGTTTTTAAATGAATACATTTCTCTTTTTAATTCAGAAATTTAAAAAATTATTACGTACAGTGTACAAACAACTGCATGATTCCGGAAGCTCGTCGAGATAAGGCGGGAAATGAGACCGGGCATCTCGTGAAAGAATGTCGTTCTCAGCGACGAAAGTGGGTTATGAGAGCCACGACACAATCTCGGGACGCCTGGCGTCTTGGGAGATATACATGGCAGTCGTAAAGGGGACGAAACGCAGCGGGAACGAAGGACGAGACGGGGAAGATGGCGGACCGTATACCGCCATCGCTTCCACCTTCTACATCACGTCGACGCGAATCGATATTTTCAAGCTTATCCTTCAAAGTTCATCCTTGTTGCACGACTCTTGTTTCTTGTTTCCCCCCTCAAGCGCCCCTTCCGCAAATTTTTCCACGGTAAAATATTTAATATACGAAAACAACGCTCGGATGACGGATATCTAGTTCTCTACGATATAACCGTCCTGAGCTTCGTGTTCCCCGCAACGTGCTTCCTATCGAGCGGCTTTTTGTTGACTCAGCGATCGATGAGAATTTACATTTTATCGCGAAGCGGAATCGCCGCTCGTGCGCGCGCGAATATTTCTTTATACGTCCCGCGTCCCGAATTCTTCAAACGTAACTCGCTCGTAAAGGCACTGCGCGCTCGTTACTCGATTCCTTCTCTTCGCCGTGAAGCAGTTCACCTAGATTTTACCGACGAAAAAAAAAAGCACCCCGATGAAATATACATGAGATATAGAGACGTCGACTTATTTATCCAGGCTCCGGCACGTACCGCGCCACTCGCGTTACGCACCTTCGTCTCTCTCTTTCTCTCTCACTCCGACAGTACATATCTATGATGGAATTATCGCCATCGGATATGGTTATTCGCCTTATAGAATATCTTCGATAGATTTAAGATAAAATTTCCAGTTAAAAGTGGATTTAAAGTACACACGGGCGGCGCAGGACTTCGGTAGCGTGTTGCTGCTCGAAGACGTGCAAATATTACATAATTTGCAGATAGCGCCGCCGTTGAGTTTTGTATAAACGGTGTTATTACGACGCGGAGTTACATCATGTTAATGGAGAGTTCGATCAGCGACGTATTTAGAAATCGCGGAGTTTCTGCGACAGCTGAGAAGCGACTCGCCTTGAGGAGAATCGGTGGCGAGTATGCAGTGTTGACTCACATGATCAAACAAAAGAAAACACTTTTCTAGCGTGTACATATCAAGTATCCCTGAGTCAAGCCATATTTTTGACACATGAGAAAATCTCCCTAATCTTTAATGTTAGACATCTCAATATAGAGCTTAATTAAATTTTTGTTGAAGCCTGTATACTTTTCAACGCCACAGAAAATCTCTCTAATTTTTAATATTAAGTATCTTAAAAAAGCTCAAATAAAATTAATTTTATTTTTATTGAAGCTACATTTTTAACACCTTAGAAAATCTTTGTTTAATTTGTAATATCAAATATCTCAAGATCAGTTAAATCTCAAACTTAATTAAATTTCTGTTAAAGCCAATCGAAGCGATGCTTCTGTGTTTCAATCAGAAATATTGTATATAATATCCTCTTATCGAAGTAACATTCGAAATACTTGAATAAGCATTACAATTAATAAGTCGGCGATCACTTCGCCGGTTGCTATTAACAGCAAATCCAGTTTGATTCGTGCTATATTTTTAACACCTCAAAAAATCTTTGTCTAATTTGTAATATCAAAACTCAAGATTAGTTAAATCCCAAACTTAATTAAATGTCTATTAAAGCCAATTGAAGCGAAGCTTCTGTTTCCATCAGGAATATTGCATATATAATATCCTCTATAAAAGGAACATTCGAAATACTTGAACAAGCACTGCAAGTAGTAAGTCGGCAATCACTTCGCCGATTGCTATCAACAGCAAATCGCAAAGTTTGATTCGTGCTCGCCCCTCGTCGCTAATCGCGATGATAGTTCTTGAAGCGTGTCTTCGACGGCTTTGTCGCGTGCGAGAAAAATGCAGGTGCGGGATATACGACCGCGCCCATTAGAGCGGCAAACATCAACGATTAAAAGTCGCGAACGGTAGGGGCGAGGCTTGCCGTGCTAATTACATTACGTAAAAGCCGCTAATGAGTTACGACTCCGTTCGCCTCGCGATTCGCTTCTCGAACGAACTGCCATCCGCGTTCGGCGTGGCCGGGAAGACCGGCCGGATCGACCGCGGATTCCATCCGTCCGCGACGCCGCAATGCCAATGAACGAAATAAGCCTTAACCTTGCCACGCGAAAAATTGGACTGACATCCGATGCAACCTGCGCCATCGCGTCACACGTCCTTCTCTTCGATCTCTACCGTCGCGTCGTATAAGACTCTAGCGGGTTCGTATTTGATTTCAAGGCGCGTGTCGCGCTTGCCTTGCATAATTTTCAGGTATGAATTCCTTGGCACCGCTTCGCGGCCGGTCGGTACAATAAGCGGATGTAAAAGTAGCCGAGATAACGAAGGCGGCTGATGTAATTACTTCGCTGACCTTTACGAGCTAGCCCTATAGCTTCTCGAGAAATTTCCTAATAGCTAACAGAAGGAAGGACAGCAGGTCAATTCTCGCTCTTGTTTAATCATTCTCACTGTTAATTCTCTTGATTCTCATTTCTAACGAAATGTTTTTACAATTCGATCCTTGGGATTTTTTACGATTTGTCGAGGAAAGAGCGACTTTAAATCGCTCGGCTGCGTCTCTCGAAATACCACCGACAGATACGGCAATATATAAATATCGATGCCAAGTACCGGGATTTCTTCCTCCTAACGAGCAAGCCGCGAAATGGATTCTCTCGTGACGGCGGTGATCCGCTAACGCGATTCTCTCGTTGCTACGTTCCTCGGGATATCGATCGTGCCGACCGTAAAAGAACAAAACTATGATGAAGAAAAATGCGCGCGCGGGTAACCCTAGATCCCCGCAAGAGACAGAGAAAAAGAAAGAGAGCTGAAGGAGAAAATGAAACGGAAAAACGAAAAGACGAAAAGGAGACGTCGGGAACGGACTACGGTAATTCAACTCCTCGCAGGATCTAAGTTTTCGCGATGGATATCGTCTTACGAGAAACGAGCATTACGCAACCACCTACCAGCTGTAACCACTAGTCATTGAAGTGACCGATTTGCCAAATTTCAGCACCCCTGACGAGCTGCGCGACGAGATCTGGGTTATGGTATATACACGACGATATACTAATTCAATTATATTAAATTATACCACAGACTTTCGAATATTTTTTAGAAGTTTAAATACTTAAATTTCCCATGTCAGAATCATATACAAGTTATGTCAAAAGTTACACCCAAAGAATGTTACCAAAGTAAACTAATAAATTTAAATTAAAAAATAAGAATTAAAAGCAAAACTAATCATATTATTTTATTATTTTAATATTTTTAATTTTATTTTACTATCTTTGGCATACATAAAATCAATCATCTCTACCGTTTCTTTCATTAATTTAAATATACATAATGGTATTAACACATAATGGTCTGAAAAAAATTATGTTATAATTGTATAATTAATTTTTGTTTGTTTGAGAGAGTTAGAAAAGGAGATTTCTGTATTAAAATATCCTCGGCATCAATAGTGATAGTTGCCGTTTTGAAATTCGGTGCCGCGATTGTCGAAAATAACGTAAGCCGCTGGCAGCCTCTGACTCACAAACTAAATATAACCGTGAATTTTGATGTTCCTACTTCCCACTTTTGCTTTTGCGCGAATAAAAACAGACCCTGAATCTTTCGAAAGTTGATTAAAGCGCCCGGATATTATCAACCCGATACATTTAATGAAACACTCATCTACGACGCAAAAAAAGAAAGATTATATTCCCGGATCAAGTAAAATCCATCAATTATGCAATATATACAGAGAGTTATCTGTTACAGATGGTCAGCTTCGACAAACTTGGAATCTGTCCCTCCGTTACATAAAATTTAATGAGATATAATCGACCATGTGGTTAATTAACTATAATTTTATCGACCGTGTGTTAATTAACTATAATTTTACGCCACATTGTTCAATCATTAATATTAAATATCGTTCCAATTTTTTCATACAATATCGATCCATCAATTAAATCCCTATCAAAATACCAGCACGAGTACATTATAAGAACAAGAAAGGAGACGAAGATACACACGCTTTCTCGCTGCTTCTGCGATGACGTCAACCGGCCGTAAATTCACGAGATGATCTACTCTCTACTCCCGTACACGTCCCATTACCCGGCCCGGACTACTCGTCCTTCGAGGCCTCGTCCTTGGTCGAGCCCTTTAAGGTCCGCTCGTGGTGCGTGGCCGACCTGAATTCGTCAGACCCTGACCACGTTATACGACACAGGCAAGTTTCTCGAGTTCTCCGTCGGGTCTCCCCGGGCGAATCCGTTTATGGCAGACTGCTCCGGTTCCCTTGAAATTATTTCAGAGAGAGGGACCTCCGGTCGCGCGCGAAGATAAATGATCGATTCGTTTTTGTGAACGGAATCGCCGAATTCGTGCCCGAGAAGAAGAGAGACAGGGAGATCGATCGACACGAAAAATTTGGGTTGCCCACGTGGCAGCGGAACTTTCAACGAGGATTGCCGAGATGGATAAAGAATTTATTTGAGCGTTGATATGCCGACGACCTCGTTCGAAAAAGATAAGATGGCCAGACACGATCGACGAATGTGAATAGGAACGAATCGAGAATGGCAGAATGCGTATCGGCTCTTCGAGTTGAAAGGGGGAGTGTGTAGCGTGCAGACAATCCAGGGAGACACGTTGTTTTGACAGCCGCGCACTTACACCGAGCTGCCACGAACTACTTGAAACCAATGCTAAGAAAAACAATGCTAAAATCATCTCTTTAAAGAGAAATCGACTTCCAATCTAAATAAACCGTAATAAGCTCTGGAAGAGCGCGACTCTTTTGGAACGTTGAGTGCAAAGTTGAGTTACCTGCCCGCTTCGTAGAGTCAGTCGTGATTTTTAAGAGATCGCGAAGAAGAAAACGAAAATAAAGGAGTGCGCTCGATCGGCTCCGATCATTTATCGAATAAATCATCGGAATAATGCCGTGCCTTGTTCCTCGATGGATCTTACATCATTACGAGCTTTCTTTCATCGCGAAGAACGAGAGTACGATGGTACAATGACCTCATCCTCCGATCTCGTGCACAACGGTATAAGAACTTTTGCAATACCCGTGCTCGAGAGAAAGAGTATTCGATTTCCGCTCCATTACCTCTCTTATTGAAATAAATAGATAATTCTATGATCGTATTACAATTCGCATTGCAGAAAGAAAAGACGGATATCGTACATCAACGCGAAATGACATCCTAATTTTTTGTTAGACTTGCCGTGGGAGCGGAAGTAATTGTTTGTCACGCGTGCGCATTTGTTTTTCAACAATAAATTTATCAAATTCAACTTTTTTTTTTCGTAAAAATCGTTATTCGCGTGTCACTTCCGAGATACATGTGTTTAGGCGACGGGTCTCTTGTGTAATTCATAAGCGTAATCGCAACGTCCCCGCATATCACGCGTTCGGCTTGTTTGCTCACAATGGCCGAACATTATTCCGGTCCGCCGGTATGACGACTGGCGTGAATTTATTTTCGGCGACGGTTATTTCCGTCCAGGTCGGGCGCGCGAGAACGTTAGAGAAGGATCTCGAAGAGCGGACACGCGCGCGCGTAGAGAAACCCCGAGGAATTCTCGCGCTCCAATATTTCACTTCCTGCCGCTAAAATTCTAATTTTCCGCGACGGCGAGACCGCGAGGGCGAATGTAAATTTGTTGAATTTATATACCGAGCTCTGCGCCTCTGCGTTCAAATGGAATAAAGTTAAATTTCGCGAATCGTCAAGCCAATCGTCCGAAACCACGGGACGTGATGAAGCTCGTAACGCATTACTCGATGTGTGAGGCTCGCTTTCCTCGCGGGAAGTGACGTAACACCATCAATTACAACGTTCTACGTAGTTCATAAAGATCCGCAAGTACCGAAAGTATTTCACATATCCCGTCTCTCCAACTGGATATAATATTTAAATGCAAATTTTTTAAAAAAGAAATATATCTTTATATCTATACTATTATAATTAAATTTATATTTCATTTATTTATATTTAACAGTCAACTCGGGAAATAATAATTCATATGTCTACTCGAATCTTAAGGCTTCTCCATTTAGCACAAGATATCCTATAAGAGATGTGGAAATTGGTAATCCTCGCGTGTCAATTCCTAGAGTCAATTCCTCGGCGAACGTAAACTACAAACGAACTGTGTAAATGAAAAGGTCTAAAAAAAAAAAAAAACGATTGTAGCGCGCAATTTGCGAGTAATTAACTTATGACGGTACATTGCGCGCGTGACAGACAACTTTGTGTCGCGCCAATCCTCGCCAATTGCGCAAAAACTTGAGCCAGATTTGCACCTTGCCAAGTTGCGCAACAGATCGCGGGATCCAGCGGTATATCGCGCGTGATGAGTCAACCGTATAATAATTTCGGGTTGCCAGATGAACCGGGGAGAAATCGCAATAAATTGAAAGATTCAGGCTTTGAGTAACATCCATTGTCCGAAGTAAATCAATCTTATTTGAAGATAGACGTATCCTTAGACGTATGATTAATTTATATATACTCGGATAATTTATTACTAAGGGTAGACTTTGGCTGCTAAATATTGAAGATAACATCACAAGTAGATTATAAATAAAAAATATTTTCCATATTGGAGTCTTTTCTACAACATTCTCGGCAATTAACAAATGCAAACGGATCGTCGTTATTTGCAAGAAATAGGCGAGTATATCTTTAATCTTATAATTGAGTAAATAAATTATCGCAAATTTTTAGTTTCCAGAATGTTTCTAGTTTTCTCACAAAAATCATAATGTGTAGGATTTCTGGTGTACGAGAATAACGCGTATTAATTATGATAGTGATAAACGGCACCGAGCGATCGTGGTTGCTATAGTTTCGCAGCCTTTAGTTATCATAAAAGACATTAGAATAGAAAAAAATTGCCTCGACTTACGGCAGCGGTTCAATTATCATGGCTTTCTATAGTTTCATGGCTAGGCTTGAACTTTAACCGCGAAGTAGTTTCACTCACCAATAGCTTGTTGTCCACAGTCTTGACGACGATTTCCTCGGGCGTGTATTGCGAGACGTCGAAGCGCAGCTTCAGCATCTTGCTGTCACCCTCGTCCTGGATGAGGGGACTGTTGAGCCCGTCCAGCCAGGCATGATCGTGCTGCGGACTCAGAGAACTGCTGTTCTGAGTCTGTTGCTGAGTGGTGGTGCTGTAATTTAAAACAAAAGCCCCGATTACCGTCGGCGATCGTTGTCTGCGCGTGAAAGTGCGGACTAAAATGAGCAATGAGGAGATGTCGGGCACATTGATGCGGTGATGAGCGACGTCGGACCCGCGACACCGTTAGCGTTTAAACCTATCAACTATAACTAACACAGTCGGTGCGAGAGAGTATGAAGCCTTACTTACGGTGACGATGGACGATGGACAAATCCAATAAATAACACGCAGAGATTGACATTAATATAAAATCGTGCGTTAATATATCAGTTAAAACGCTAGAAAGGCCAGCATATTTCACACGCAATCATTTTCATTGCACAGAAATAGATGAAGTAAAAAATTGCATAATTTTGTGTAACAAGAATATCGAGTTATTTATTTGAAATGCTAACTGGCGATTAATACGCACTGAACTTTGCCCTTTCTAGCGTTAACTAAACTCACGTTATTCTAACTCTTGCACGCAGCACTATGATCTATGCGGAACTGTAAGGAACATAAGGTAAATAACCATAAGGTATGAATTGTGTCAGGAGGGCAACGATATCATCGTCCCGGGTGTAGGGTCACACAACGTGCAGAGACATTTGTTCGTTCGTTGCACTCGCTCTGACGCGATTACAACCGCGTTAACCCTTCGTAGAAAGAAACTGTTGTAACGTTGCTAGTGCCATTGATTTTTTATGTGTAGATTTTTATTATTTCTCAGCACATTTATATGCGTTAACGTATTGACTTAATAAATCTAAATTTCATGAATATTAACGAATCATTAACATTAAGAAAATAACCGATTACGCAATAATGCTAAATTGTTTTTTTTATAAAATCCTCAATTTTTCGAATTTTCTTTGTATAAATTAGATCATACAACGATCGAAAACAACTTTGATTCCTTCTTGCTAACCATATCCGAATTATTTGAGCGTATCTCAACGCCAAATTGTTAATCTTATATTCTTCAAGTTCTGCGAAGAGTTAAAGACGCAAACGAAAAATAAACGGTACACAGTGCGGGATAAATATTTCAGGACGTAACAAAAAGTGTGCGGTCTAATGTACAACTACTGTTTAAAACGAAGCGTCGATCTTTACTTGGTCTTCCGGCAAGCTTTAGAAATCGGGGATGCGCGCCCCTGTGTGACGCGCAACATCTTCCGATCCCACTTGATCGTTCCTACTATCGATCGACTCGTTTTTTCTCTGTGCTTTTCTGTGCGTTTTCTGTTCTTTTTTTTTTCTCTTTTCTCTACGAGATAGAGCGTCACCTTTTGAAGCTGTCGAACGCGGACCGCTTCGACGGTGCTGCGGGGTCGACCTTGTCCCAACCTTCGCTCTTCGAGGTCGTCGACGTGTGGTGCTCGCTGGTGCTCGTGTGGTGCCGACTTCATAGTTAGTCACGTGCCAATGCAGAGAGCCATTCGGTAGGCGAGAGAGACGGTAGTCGAGCGCAGGAAGAGGGATGGTTGTTATTATTAATATCGGTTATGTAACTCTGATGGTTACGGAGTGTTGTCGTCCGAATTAACGAATTAATCCACACGCGGTCACGTTGTCTTCGCTTCTGTGTTTCTTGGCGGTGCACACAGCTCGATTAATCTCCCCGTCCCGCGGAGTTCCCACAGACTGGATTTCACCCACGGCGATTAACAGTTATTCGTCAGACGGGGGGGGGGGGTCTAAGATCTTAAATCCCTTCCGAGCTTGCTGTTTTCACTAACGACAAATCACTCTTGCCTAGCCTGTTTGTTGTCTTCATCAACAAGCGCCAGTCTTTCCCGGCGAACAAATAGTCGAATCTATCTCGGAATCTATTAAAACTAACTTTGGCCATGTAAATTCATGACTACGTCTATCTTTAATGTCATAACAACGACTGTTTAATCGACGAATAACTGTGTTGAGCATTTATTCGCCGTTGATGAAAACCATTCTTCGTTCAAACGTTTGTGCCGATATTATTATATTCCTCCGAATTTCTAATCGTTAATTATTTCTGACAAAGAAATGCCGCTTCGAATTGTATATATAAAATCGTACGTTACATTAACGGAAAAACAAGCATGTTTGTGATTTTTAAGACCGATAAGTTTATTTGCACCAAGAAACAAGAAGCGAGCGACGTTTCCAGCAAGATTTAATGAAAATTTTGATACTTTTTTTGACTCTACTGTTATTTTTATCGTGTTCTTTCTTTTCTTTGCACTACATTTTATTTTTGCTTTAGTTAAAAGTGCTGCAGTACGACTCCATAAGTGCTCAGAGTTGAACTGCGAAAAAAAGAATCTTACAAGTCTTGTTATCTCTTACACTTTCCATATTCATAAGACCTTGTATAATTATAAACATAAATAAAAAGAAATCATAGAAATTGGCGCTAAATTTTCACCGAATAAAAATATCATCGCGCGTGTAACGTACTAGAGATCTATACAACTAATGGCTATCGCAAATCTAAAATTATTCACGAATGCTGCGAGGCAAATTGCTTCGAAACAAGGACAAAAAGCAGTAAGACAATCGACACACGTCAAACACGCAGCAAATTAATCGTAAAGGCTATATACAAATTAATTCTACAACTTAAGAATTTAATAAGCGCACTCGGCAAATACGTATACGTGATAAATCTTATCCGTTCTAGAGTTTTGTGTAAAAAAAAAAGAGCAGTTTGTTTATACGATAAAACGAAATTTCTCGAACGGGCCGCCTGCATTCGTCCGGATGATCTTCCACGGAGATCAACGCTATTCTACTAATTACCGCTGATAATCGACGTTAAACCTATTAACGATCCCCCGAGAGGACCTCCGATCGATCGTAAACGTGATCATGCAGATGGGAACTAGATTGCAGCTCGGCGCGAAATAAATGTCACGTCGAACGAAATGTCACGATAACCGGAAGTGTCTTGCCTTGTCTTCGGAGAGGTCGTCGACCCACTACCACGGAGGATACTATAAATAGCACGTAATTACGTCGTCGCAGCGCGTACTCGCATAGCGAGGGTGATCGTGATTTCTCAAGTCACGTTTATTCGTGTTACCTTAACTCCGTTGGGCCTCGCAGAGTTAACTTTCGTTTTTCTAACCGTAAAACAATTGTATACCGCATCGCTGTTTTCCAGCCTCATTTATCACCCCGCGAAATTTACACAAGAGACAAATCTTACAATTAGGGCACCTACGTAAGTCGGGATAATTTGACAACTGACATTAACATCGTAAACAATAGCGGACTATTCTTTATAATTCATTTATATAAATCTAAAAAGATAATTTAATCGTAATACATGGATGATCTTGACATTAAAAAAAAATTTTTGTGAAAGCCGCTAAAGAAATTCATCTTTTATTATTGTGAATTTAAGTTTTCTAACGATATTTTACCCTCCTTAGAAGCGAAAATCATAGTTTGTAAAAGAGAATGCACGAATCGCTTCGATAAAAATTAATATCCGAAAGAAACGAGATTGTGTACACGGCGTTTATAAAGTTTTGTGATGGTCGAATAAATTCTACGACAGAGTAAAACGATTCCAAGAACGAGATGTCACTATATCCCGTCACGCGATATAACGTGTTTGGCAGTAATAACGACTGTTTTCCGCGTTTTATTCCCTTCGTGCGTAGGTATGGCGTATCGAACAAAGAGATTGCCGTCAATAAATTCCCGTTCCGCTGTCGCGCGGATCTTTCGACAGGTCTATCGTCGCGAGAACGCAAATGCATCAATATAATTCATACTCTTTTTACAGAAAACCGAGATATACATTACGTCAAATTTTGATTGAATCTAAGACTCGTGCAGTAACATTTAAATATCACGAAACGTTTCGCCAACGGGAAGCGAAAAAGGGTTGAAATAAAGCCGCAGGAAGGCTACGTGGGAAAGAATGGGAAAGAAATGCGGTAGAGAACAATTATGCGCCAGACAAGAGAAAGGTCGGATCTCGTCTCGTGAAATCGAGGGAGGTCAACCGTAGAGCGTAGGATCTTACAAAGCTCGATTCGTCGGAGTGAAAAGGCCAAGCAAGACGCGGATCACGAAGTGGCAGAGATTTTATATTCTGATTCATCCGCGTTATTCATATTGTAGCGACTGTCTTACGTGGATATAATCGATGTAACAAAATTAATTTAAGAAATAACTAAGAATATGATATTGTATTTCTTTAAGTCTTTGTCGAGATGTTTTATCAAAAGAAAAAAAAGTGTTTTATTAAAAAGTTACAATAAAAATATTCAACATAAAGAAGTAGCAAACTCATTGTTGATATAAGAATAAGTCAGACGGTGTTTATCTAATCTGTTTAGTTTAACTCAGTTTACTACTTGAAATCGTTGAAAGTGATTGGTGTAATTTGTATCAGTCTCGAAGTCTTGCATCAATACATAGCACAATTTCATATCGAGATACTCTAGCTCAAGCGTATTCCAATTTTCCAATTGCAGAAATTATTAAGCGAGAATCATATCCGCGTATGCTCCGCTCTCATTTGACAGAACGTAATAAAGACCTTTGTCTTCCAATGAGCAGACCGAGTTTAACTAAAACATTAACAGATGTATTATAATGTTAATTTTATCATAGAGAAATGATTATTTTGCATATATGGTAAACGTCTTCAAAAAATTAAATATAATTTCTAATGATAGAGTTGTAACTCTCTCTGTAGCAATTATTATTACTATTATTCATCTCTCTCGATTTGTTCGACGAGAATGACAGTGAATTTATTATCCGTATCGCAGATTATATCTACTTAACTATAACTCTATCGAATAAGATAATCGGGCGCTACGGAGCACGTTTCGACGAAATCATATTTAGCCATTACGCCGATGCCAATGGTCGGCTGAGAGTCAATGAATCGCTTAAACTCACAGTCAGTCACACATCGCCGGCACATTGTGTAACAGAAAGACGATGGTTGTAGGACGAAACAAAAGAGCGCGCGCGCGTATGTGTGTGTGGGAAAGTGTGCATACGAGAGTGAGCGGAAAGTGAAATCTCCCTTTGGCACGCACGCATTGCGACGCTCGAGTCTTCAATCGCGATATGATCCACCGACAGACAGCTAGTACCGTCAGTTATCCGCGGAAAGTTCAAGCGTAAAGTTTAGCATAGTTCAGCAAAGTCAATTAGCAAGCTATTGCCCTGCGTTATAAGAGTTAATTTCCTGTTGCTGCTCGAATCCCGTCTGTCCGGAAGCTACCTGCTGCACGATATCGAATCCATACAATTTTTATCTCGCGTATTTTCCGTTTCAAATAAGTAAAGTATGGAACGTTCGAGGTAGTACAATTATTGATTTTCCGTCCCGAGAAACGTGTCGCAAGTTTCCTACTACAAAATAGAAAATTTATGTACACTCGTAGGCAATGAGATTGCGACACTTTTTTTTTAGTGAGTTTTATGAACGCGTGACTTTTAACATTCTAATAATGTTTTTCAAATAATATTAAATAAATGAATTTGATAATTTGATGTTAGTGTTTAACATTTGGTACAGCATCAGTTTAATTATATACATAACATGTTTGTGAGTTTACAAATTCGTAAATTAACTGAAAAAAAATGTCGCAACCTCATTGTCCACGAGTGTACATAAATTTCCTATTTTATAGTGGAAAACTTGCGACACACGTCGGAGGATATTTATTTTTTCCAAGCTAATTCGATTTTGCTAATTCGATTTGCATTTATCGACTCGATGTAAAACCAGATGTTTTAAGGCCCATGTTATTCAATAACAAAAGATTATACGAATGCGGAATCATAAAGTAGTTTCACATTTTTAAATAAAAACCTAGCTACGAAGTGTATATGATCCGATTATTAATGAAGTTCAATTCAGATAGTAAACAAAGATTAAAAAGTCAGAATCCGAACAGGTGGCTGAACAGTCGATAATATCTTGACATATGTCTGATAGACAGGCCACCGTCTACATGTTAATAATACATCCGCGTAGCGAAGACACTCCGCGTGATGTGCCATACGCGCGCGCTTGTCTATTTGCGGTAACCGTCCCTGAACATAAGAATTACGTCAGGAACACGTGATTATTCGGACTTCGTAATGGACCATATTCACCTCCCACGAGGATGATCCATCGTGGATGCGCGATCGACACCGCGTCCGAGCGCACACCTGCTTATCGCGCGCGGCGGCGCATATTTATAGACGCGTCAGAGTCTTTTAAGTCAATGACGACATGGCATGTTTCTCGAAATAGATCCAGTTAAGGTCCATCTGCAATGAGAATAGTAAGTCGTAAAAAATTGACCAGTCACAGTCGAATATATGAGAAGAATAATCGACTGTGATGGGTAAATTTCTTACGGCTTACGACTTACTACTTTCATTGTAGATGAACCTTTATTGATTTGTAAAGATAAACTCAAGTCGTATTATAAGACGGAATGTTGATCGCGAGATGGATGATTGTAGATAATTAAATCGGCGAATTTAATTTCATAAATACATCATCTCTAATCAATATTAGACGAATCGTCGAAAAAATAATATACAAACATTAATTCAATTAATTGCGTGAAAAGTACTTTTTTTTGCACGAGTAACTCGTCAAGTGACGAAACCGGCCGAAGCGAACCGACGACAAGGATGTTAACGCGCATGAACGTCGGAGAATCGCGCAGGGCAACATACCGCAGCTTGATGACGGTTTTATGCGCGGGTGGATAAAGATCCTCGTTCAGGATCATCGCGGATCCTCTTTAGGCCGGTCGGCGGTGAACCGAGAGTCGATAACACCCGTTAGCAACACGACCGTGCGCGCGCGGCTCGCTTTAAAGCGCGGACTGCGACGATGCGGTTGCCTCGGCGATGTCGTAAAAATTACTGCGTAAATCCGCTCGTCTAGGATCCCTGCAAGCTCCTCACCTTTCCTGCGGCCGCGGCGCGATTTCAGTGCTCGCGATTCCCAGTGGGGGCCATTCGCGATCGTGCAACGCGATACAATGTCAAGGTCGTTGACGTAATAACGATGCACCGCAAACGATGTGTGCATATACATATATATATAAAGTGTCAACCTTTTTTTTATCTCTAACACCATGTAGAAAAACAACGTTAATTCAATTCAGCACACGCGCGGCGAATTGCATTATGCACAAGCGGCACGTCTACACTGTGCAACGATAATGTAATTTTGATTAGAGAGTGCAGCATTATTAAAACGTAAACCAATGATTCTTTCGAGGAAACGAGCAACGGACTCGGGAGGAGAGTACGTTGACTGGGATTTATTTCGATCGGGCGGAATCCCGGAATTTAAACATTGTTCATTCTTTTTCCGCGTTCCCATCTCGTTTCTTCAAACTATAGCTGTTTCGAGTTACGACAATGCCGCATTCAGAAGACGCGGCCGTGTGCGTGTGTCGGTGTGCTGTAAAAAAAAAAATTGCAGTGAACGCGTCCGTTGTGCGTCCAACGAGACGATGTAATTGCGTAATAGACATCGCTTGTAATTCTCCGCGAGTTACACGTACAACAGTTGGCGTTTTCCCACATTTAAAATATGCCGGGGTTTAACACGAATGCCCCCGAATGTCATACGACGAAACAATCACTGTTTGCAGCGTAAAACTCGAATGCCTGTATCCCGTTGGACTGCCGGGATCTGCAGTAAACGATTTGTGGAGGTCGAATGTGATGTAAAATGAAATATGGAAAATTTTTATTGGAATTCCTGTTTGCCTCGTATAAAGATGTTTAATTTGAAATATATTCTTGTATTATTCAATCCAATTAAGCAATAACGCGAAATTTGCAAGAAGGAACGCGCGTGAAATGCGAAATGAGTTAACAGGGTATTCAAATTTTGTAAAAAAAATTCCCTGAAAATTTCCGCATTTTCCAAGAATTTTATTTAAAATTCCAGATAAGATTAGAAAATTTCTCAGTACAGCTTTAAAATAAATTAGGCACTAAGAGTTTTAATAACGTATAGAACTTGATGCGTGAAACAATTTTAATCTTCTCATATGTACAATATAGTTACATGTCCATACAACATTTTTCGAACGTAACGAAAGATTTTGTATGGAGATGTAACTACATATGTGAAGATTAAATTGTTTCACGCACCTATAGTTCTGCGTTATTAGACTCTTAATGCCTGATTTATTATTTCCGGATTATCATTTTTTAGATTAAAGAGTCTTTATATAGTACATGTCAATTTTAAAATAAATTAACTTTTAATATCAGAGACCTTCGATATGGAGTCGCGTTTACTTTCTAAAGGGATAAAATTAAATTTAAAAGTAAAATTCAAAAAATTTCTTTGATTGTATCAGTAAAATTCCATGAGAATCCACGATTTTCAAGGGTAAACATGAAATTCCCTGAGAATTCCAGGTTTTCCCGGTAGTACCCACCCTTAAAGGTTAAAGAAGTTAAAGAGTATCTTGCGAATGGCGATGTACAGTTTAATTAAACGTATTGCCGACTGCCTTTGAATATTGTCGGCACGCCAATTAAGCGATTTCAGCGAGAAAAATTTCCACGTGACTGTGCAAATTTTTCCGACACGCGCATTTCCCGAAGATCCGTCCGCTTCGCCCTCCGGCGCGTCGAGTCGCCAAAGGAGGCTCCTCCTGCCGGTCCGCGAGAATGCAGTGACGGAATCTCTATAAATAGCAACTGAAATGCGCGCGAAACGACTGGTATCGATGCAAAAATGCAGAGCCAATCTGCGAATCGTCGCGAACATCCGCGCTGCCCACTGACAAGATACACGCGAGAGTTTCGTCGTTTTTGCGACGGTACCAATAACGTTTCAAGTAATAACAGGGAAAAGCTATATTTTTACGCAAAAGCTTATACATTCTATCAGATTTTCCATTCGACGTAACACATGATGAGTCACTTAATGTTACTAAAATTGATAAAAACATCGAAACTTATACATTCTCGTGTTTCGACAAGGCAGCGACGACGTAAATTAATTCACGCAAATGAGGGATTTTATGTAGAGTCTCTTAACGCGACGGGAGCTACAAGTGACATCATCTGTTTTTTTACGTCGCGCAATTTGCCCTTTCATCAATTTTACAGGTTTATTTTCCTTATCTGTCTCGTGGTTTCGGAGATATTTTAATATTATATGTATATTCCTATTCTGCACGTTACAATAACACTCTTTCTTCGGAAACCAATATTGAGTCATCGTCTTAAAATGTTGAAATAAATTGCATCTGCATGATAACGCGTGTACGATCGATCGATCGGTAGATTGCTAATCTCTTTAATCGCTCGACAGTCGAGTCGCGAAACGGAACTCGTATACAGCACAAAATACCAACGATCGATGAATCTTTATCATGCAAAGAGAAAATACAATTTTTTTTTCTTCTTCCAGCCAGGTATTGCCAATCGATACTTCCGACGGCTGTTAAAATAATTGTCGAGTCGACGGTCTTCGATCGCGAGTAATTTCAATGCCGGACGTGCCGCGTCAAACGAAATAGAATCTCTCTTAAAAAAACATCGGAAATAAAAGTGAGTGCAAAACCTGTGTGCGAATATACGATCGAGCGAGAGAAAATTCAACGTAAAGGTACGAAGGTCAACTCTTGCAAGTCGTCCTTAATCCCCTCGCGCGTCGCAAGCTATAACGACAGATCAGACAAATTAGATTCATTTGCTCGTACAAGAGAATCGATACCGCCAATGTCAACTACTTATTACTCGCGACCCACGCTTATTTTTTTTTTATCGATCTCACTCTGCGCGCCGATGTACGGCGTACAGTAATCCCCCGTATTGTATGTAATTCCCCCACCCCTGAGAAACGACCTCGAGATTTCGACGTACACAACACGCCGGGGGGTGTGCCGGCTCGTAAACATACCGTTTGTGTCGGCCAACCGCGATGTAAGTAAGCGAACGAATTCGAATTACCATCCGTGATTCGAAAGAAGAGCTCTTTGAGAAATCGATGTAAAACGTCGGACGAATTTATGCGCGGAGAGACGCGCGAGAGGGAGAGAACGTAACCGGTGTGCGTATCCTGAAGAAAGGTTAGGCGTCTCGCGAGAGAAAGAGAGAGAACACCGTACAGGGAGTTCATTCGACGTACCTGGTGGTGCTCTTGAAGAAGTTGTTGCTCTCGCGGTTCATCAGCTCGCTGCGGAACCGCGACATCTCGTCCTCCATCTTCCTCATCTCGGCGTCGAAGCGCTCGCGTATGTTGGAGAACTCGGTGTCGATCACGCTGAAGTCACCGAGTTTGATGGGAATGTTGCGCTTGATACCACTGTCGGCCATGTTTTCGCCCGGGCAGCACTCTCTCGTGTCTCTCGTCACTGTGTAAATCACTCGACGGGGGGTTGGACTCGCGCCGCGATCGAAGGCACGGATTCGATCCCGCGGATATCCAGGCAAATACGATACTCTTGGGTTACTCTCTCTCCTTCTCTCTCTTCACTAACGCCGCACGTGTCACGTCCCGTGTCTCGTTCCCGTCTGAGGAATGAGCGCGGCTCGCCGGCGCGGTCCCTTAAATACCCGGCGACGCCGGCGCGGCCGCTCGTAGGTGTTCGGTCGCCCTCGACCGCGCTCGGCTCGCCTCGTGATCGTACACGCGGTCGCCCGCTCGGTCGCGAAAACGGCCGCGAACGGCGGGCGAACGACGCTCGGGTAGATGTTTGACACGAACGATGACGACCCTAAATCTAATTAGACATAATAATCGCCGAACGTTGGGATCAGCGTCGTTAGCGAAAAGTTGACGGACGCGCAACGGGAGAGCGTCGTGTCGCCGCCTACATCCTGCCTGCGCGGAACGAAAGAGCGCGCGTCCGTTTTTTTGTGTCGTTTACAGACACGCCGCTAGCGCGCATAATTTTGTCTCCCAAGACAGAAAATATATAGATTGCCTCGTCTTTTAATTGTTTAAAATAATTTGGAATATTTTAATTAACATATTCATGATCGTTTAAATGAATATCTGCGTATATATAATAGTATAAATACTCTGATATATTTTTTAAGAAAAGAAAAAAAGGTGAAAAATAAATCACGCTAAATAATTGATATACTTTGGATAAACTAGACCGACTCGACAAATTTAAGAGAATGGACTCCCTTCCCGTCGAGGAAATCCCCGCATTGAGGCCAACTGTGTTAACTTTCCGATAGATCGCGGCCGGACTTATTTTCGTATTTAAAACAAATACTACGTCGCGCGAAAACGAGGCGCCGCTCTTAGAAATTTGTTCATATAAAGATCGGGCGTAGGCGATGCCGGCACAAAACGAATCATCGTCCGCGCAACAGAGCTATGACTAATAAAACCCGCGCGATCATTTCCTTATAAACGCGACCCCCGCGAAAGAACATTCTCGTAAATTCCACGCACGCGGTAGAATTTATTCGTATAATTTACGGCCGATACGAGAAGGATGGAAATAAAGCAATTACAGCTGTATGTAAAAATAACATTTTCATTCCATGTAGCAGTTTTCCCAACAGTTTCCGAAAAGATCTTTAATATTTAAGCCCTTTAAATTCTGTTTTTATAATGTCGTGGATGAGAACGAATACTTGCGTCGCAAAACGTCAGTCGAAAACAAAAGGGTTCGGAGATGACGTAAGACGGTTAACGAGTTGCAACGGCGGATGATATAATTTTTACGGTGCTGATCGTTTAATTAGACCGAATTAAAAGGTCTCTTCGAAGTCAATAACTCGTCGGTGGATCGATAAGACATCATTTAACGCGGTGATCCATCCATAAAGACCGCGCTATCGTCGGCAATAAGGATTTTAATCGAAGGAAATCAAAACTTTCCCGTGGGACAACAGTTAAAAAGTTCATCATAATAAAATCATTGGCCGTATATAAATTAAAGACATTGTTTGCATAGCCATGCGTACATATTTGTTTATCGGCTCTTAAAATAACATATCGCGAATCGAATCGATGAGACCCGCGCGATCGCATGCAGTGCTGGATGATGTGGATTCCTATACCGTCAACAAAAGGCGTCGATTGAAAAAATTCTTCCCGCATCGCGTCCGTCGAAAATTGGCAATCGTTCCGTCGTCGACGCGTCATCGAGCCGGGAATGTTAAAAGACCGTGTATCGCGTCGTCACGAGAGAGAATTCTTTTACGGTATTGAAAGCGAGTCGCGGTGAGTGACGCCGACGCTATTTCGGCGCCTCGCGTCGTCACGAGAAAGAGCTGCGTTCTCTCGCGTCTGAATGGAACGGCGACGTCACTGCATGCCCGCCCCCGTATATTCATCATACGCGAACACAATTCGACATATACAGACCTGCCGTTCGCCCTTCGTCACAAGGATATACGCTCACGTGAATTAGAGCACCGTCGAAAATGCTCCTCACGTCGAACGTAATTGCTGCAGCATGGGTGAATCGGAGGAAGCATCGATCGCGCAGATGTTAATCTTTGGCGAGGCGAAGAAGAGGCTGAGCTTAGTGGGATTAGACAGAAAAATGTAAAATAAAAGACAGATACAACGGAAAATCAAGTTTATACTAAATGGGACGGTTTTTGTTTACTGACGTAGACTTGTTTTGTTCGATTGGACGATAAACAAGTAAACACTTTTGCGCTTCGGATTTAATATAGGGTGTCCCAAAACTCTTAATTAATATTTTAAGGCGTGAAAGAGAATGAAATTTTGAACTAAAAGATTCTTTATCAATTTTAGCTTAGAGAGAGAGAGAGAGAAAGAGACAGAGAGAGAGATCATTATTTACGAATAAAGTTATTCAATCAGATCGCGCTTCAGCCGGAATACGAAGGACCGTATCGTGCCGTGTGACTCTTCGCGTTTACTTCTCTCGATTAAAATTTTATTCTAATTTTTCATATTAATAAATAAGTAAAAGTTCTAATAAGTTCTTGGCCGTTAAACTTTTCCTTATTGAAATAAGTAAATAATAAAAACAATCAGAAATTAGATAAATTTCGAACGTAATTTATTCTTACTTATTTATCCGGTTGACCACACGTTGCAATTGGCCACGTTGCGATTGCCCACGTCGCGATTGCTCACGTCGTAATTATTTGTGTGTTTATTTATTTATTTACTTACCTTATTTATTGATTTATTCATTTGCTTATTTATTAATACGAAAAATTAGAATGAAATTTTAATCGAGAGAAGTAAACGCGAAGAACCGCACGGCATGCTATACGCTTCTTCGTACTTCAGCTAAACGCAATCTAATTGATTAACTTTATTCGTTAATAACTCTGTAAATAATGGCTTGAACCAAAATTGATAAAGGAACTTTTAGTTCAAAATTTCATTTTTTTTTCACGCCTTGAAATATTAATTAAGAGTTTTGAGACACCCTGTATATATAAGCCCGTATTTATATAAATTTGGCTTAATGATTCGTTATTCCTTTCAAGATTAAAACTACATGTAAAAATAAAAAAGAAAAATTTTAATTTAATTAAGTTTTAAGCATACGCTGTGAGCGGTTCATGTGTCGCGGTTATTGACTCCACCGTCCTAAATTCTGAACATTTTATTCGTCCCCCGCGTTGAAATGTGTGTCAGGAAGACTATATAGCGTACAACGACATATTACAAAACGTATATGTGATCCTCGTCGAGGAGAAACTTAGGACGCGACGAAATTTTTAGACTCAATTTCTTCATCTGCCCTACAAATTCGAAGTGACGTCGCTAAAAACTTTAAACGCGTTTCTCTCGAGGGAAGACGATTCTCGTCTCACGAGCCGATGCAAAAGAGCTCAATAAGGATTTCTTTGAGAATCTCGCGCGTCCAAGCAATAAAAGGGGAATAAAGGATGCTGATCACTTGACTAACAAGATCACCAAGGTTGAACGCTAAAGTGTGTCAATGTCGCCGCTCTCGTATCTCCAGACGAGATTCTTTACGGAACGACGGACTTCCTCTCTCGTTTTCTGAAACGTCGACGAGACCGAACACCGCGATATGGGGGGGGGGCGGGAGGGGAACCTGACTGCGTGTGACGTCACCTCCGTGGGGGTTTCGCCGATCGATAAAACGCGTCACAGCGGTTCCTAATATGGATCGAAGATAGGGCAGCTGCCGTGTGTAATAACGCTTCTCTCGATCGATCTTTTCCATAATTGCGCAAGATTCCGGAACAGAAAGCGAACAGGTGAGACTTTAAGTCGTCTCACGATTTATGACGTCATTGTTTCAAGACATTGAATTTTAATTCGATTTCTTAATTTCAATAAACTGCAGACATTTTTGTCTGGTTCACGAAATTCGCGAAATAATCTACGTATCGTGAGTGTCTCTTACGTGCATGCCAAACCGAATTAGCGTCGAGTTTCGTTCGTAGGTTTATACACTCGATCAATATCTTGGTATCGTCTGTCGTAATTACACAGGAAGTTCAACGAGACTTATAATTAATGTACTAAAGTTCAATTCCTATTTCCTAATTGTAATTTATATTGTAGCTAGGAACTTAGAGGTTTCTAATTATAATTTATTAACATGTACTCGATACCAGTATTAATTCTTTACATGAAATAAAGATAATAAAGAAATAAAGAAAATAAAGATTTGCCCAGTTTGACTTCTGAGAGGCTCGTCGTTTGCAAGCCGTTCCGAAAGTTAATTCCATTCGCATAATTGAAGAAGTTTAAATATAAAATTTTTAGTCCTGTTTTACAAAATTAATATTTTTTCAATATTTTTTAATATTTTTAATATCTTCGCATAATTAAAGAAGTTTAAATATGATAAGATTTTTAGTCCTGTTTGACTTCTGAGAGACTCGTCGTTTCCGAAGCAAGCCGTTCCGAAAGTTTCATTCGCATAATTGAAGAAGTTTAAATATGATAAGATTTTTAGTCCTATTTTACGGAATTAATATATTTTCCATATTTGTTAAAATATATAATATTATTATTAATTCATAAATATACATAAAATCGACATTATTGTAATTTAAGATAAACGCAATGTATCCTAATATATGTTTCGCGATGCATGCATTCTATTTCAGCTCACATTTTCACGTAAGGGGCGAGAGTGTTACGAGAGTGATCGGATCCATTCGTGGTCGTATCCTCGACATTGAATCGCGTAGAGACGAGCGACGGTCGAAGGAAATCGGACGGACGGCGAATGCCTTCGGACGAATCTGGCTATACGGATTCTATGCCCGTCTCGGATTTTGTCAGCTAATAATAGCCCGGTAGAGCGCATACCGAAGAGCTACTATCTTTTCGGCGACGTCAGTTTGCTTGTTTTCCTCGTCTACGTACCGCGGGCTATGAATAATTGTCCAATCTCTCGCGGACGCAGCCCGGTCGCGCGGTGTCGGGAAACACGGAACGCATACATATACATATAATATAACGAGGGAAACCGTAATAAACGATGCGTGAACCATTGCGAGAGTGTTTTTGTTAGAACGTTAGACACTCCATTTCTCAGTAGAATATGAATTCCATTCGGTTCTTTTCGATACAATTTAAGCCCGTAGCGAATTCAATGCAACATATGTTCGCGCAATCGTGTGACAAAACACAGCCGTCGTTAATGAGACGAATTGTTGGACGACGCGCGCATAGCGATCGCCGTCGTGTCATGCTTCCGATCTGATCGCTGATTGATCAAGTCTATAAATTAGCATGATCGATTATCCAATGTCACCGCCGTGAATAAACTCACACGTAACGCGCGGTGACAGGTGATCGCGAATAAAGAATTGTACAAGCGCGCGCTATACATCATTAAGAAACGCTGTATCGGAAATATTAAGAAACATGTTCGCTGGACAGATAAAAGTGCGTAATCTCTCGTTGTTTTGAATGTACGAACCTCGATAACTCGAATCTTAAGGCAGCACTGTTAAATCTATAGTGTCAAATTGAATCTTATTTAAGTCGCCACTGCTCTTACTTAATAAACTATTAGTTTTATAATTAAAACAATATAGTTACTTTTAAATAAAATAGCATTTAACCCAAATTTGGGTTAAATTTCTGTTTTAAATTTAAATTTAACTAAATTTATGTTTTAAATTATTTAACTCTATTGTTTTAATAAAAAATAACTATTTATTAAGTAGGAGCAGTGGCGACTTAAATAAAGTTTAGTTTAATACTATGCGAGTTCCATATTAATAATTACGCCAAGTCATGATCATTCGCGTAGGTCGTAGCGGCAGAGGGTAGAATGAGACCCTCGAACGCACGGCAATTTGCTGTAAAAAAAAAAAAAAAAGATTGATGCATGCGCAGAGAGGACGAATACTCAAAGGAGTATTTGTCCAAGTACTAAGCTGCGCATATAAACGTATACTTACTATTTCGTCCATCCATCGGCTTATTGTGGTTATATAGCGCTCAGCATGCGATTGAAAGTTAACAGAACATCTATCCCGGACGTCAGATGTTGGTGGACGTATGCAAGTATACTAAAAAAAAGTAAAAAAAATATTTTGACCTTCCACAATTGTTCAACAACAAAATCGTTCTTTCCGTGTATATTTTAAATCATATTATTATTACCGCTTCAATTATCAGGTCTTGTATTTCATGCAAATCACGTAGAATGTCATGGTTCACTCGTTCTTGTCCAGGTCGAACTTGTTCCATGTTTTTTATCTTCGTATCTACTATATATAAATAAATTATAGTGGAATAATATTGAAAACTGTATACTATACGTAGAAAAGAATAAATAAAGAAATGAATAACGAAAGTTAGAAAGAATAAAGAAAGAACAGTGAAAGTTAGACTGTGCGCAATTATCAAATTCCATGGAAAATGTAAGGTGAACAAGTATAAAAGATATTGACCCGCTATACAAAGATCTATTGATAAAGATTGATACGAAAGAGTCACGCGAGCCACGCGCTATTCGCATTTCGTACTTTAAACTAAAGGAAGTTCGGAGATTAAGGACAATTTACGGTACGCTACTTACGATTACTGCAAGATTTTTATTGGAATATTCCACTGCAGCACGTAACAATAAGGCTGATGGTAGCTTTTAAAACGCGATCTTACTTCTAAGCGCTACGGAACCTACTGGATAAAGGCAGATTTTAGAAGTGTTGGGGGAAGAGTTGCGAGTGTACACGTGATCGGCAGGGGGAGAGTTGCGAGTGAACACGTGATGGGCAGGCGCGCTATTGGAAGCGGAAGGACAATAGCGACAAATAAGGAAGAGTAAATAGCAAAACCAGATGTCGGCCAGGGCGCACGGCGCGAGAAGGTTACATACCATGGTACATATATCCCGATAATTGCCTGTACCTGTCTTACGTTCTTTCTCGCGATACCTAACCGCAAGAAACCTTACAAGAAGACACTGCTTTGAAATTTCGTTGACATACATCGCTTTTTGTAAACATATACCTAGATAGAGGTTGTAGGTTAACAAAATTTAAAAGTGACGAAAATTTATCTTTGTATCGAATGGTTTCGAGAGTGCCCCGATACAGATATAACGATCGACATTTCATAAATTCGCACTGACGTGAGAGAGAGGGCGGGAGCGGGCGCCGTTCCGCGCCCGGTCTCTGAGTGACGTGTCATTTATCGCATAACGCGAACGTTTATGCGCATTCGTGTCGCATAATTGCAATTAGAGCGGAATTCATTTACATCGACCGACATTCAATTTCTTCCGAGAGAAAGCCCGGGATTTACACACGTGTCCTCGATGCGGCGCGGCGCGATGCGATGAACGCGCACGCGGACGTTCGTGTTAGTCGTGTCGGTGTCAGAGTGTGTATGTACTCACGCATTCCTCCCTCACGTGAGTACATACACAAGCAAATTGTTATCGATTGCGCTCGTTAAAAAATTTACAGTTTGGCATTTCCGGCTCAACCCTCGCGCAAAAAAGCTCTTTCTCTCTCTCTCTCTGTGTGTCGTTTTTTAATTCATGTCGAGGAGCCTTGCAAAATTTGTAACAAAGTGTGTCGCATTTTTATTTCCGTATATCTCCATAAAAGATCAACAAAACGTTCTTTAAAGTCGATATAAAAAGTAAAGACTAAATTGTAAATGCTTTTGAAAAATTTTACTGTAATTTATCTTTTTTTTTATGATATTACACTTTCTTGTGGAGAGTAGAATAGGGGATCTTTAATTTTGCTGTTGCATTAGAATAACCCAAGCCAGTGGCACGTTTGACATTTTTACGGAAAATTCTTCACACTGCAATAAAATGGCAAAATTATCGCGGCTCATTTTTTAATAAACATTTTAAAGGACTTGCTTTAATTTTCAACTTCCGCATTTTCCGTAAAAATATCGAATGTGTCGCTGGCTTAGGTTATACTAATGCAACAGCAAAATTAAAGATCCCCTATTTTACTCTCCACAAGAAAGTGTAATATTATAAAAAAAAAAGATAAATTACAGTAAAATTTTTCAAAAGCATTTACAATTTAGTCTTTACTTTTTATATCGACTTTAAAGAACGTTTTGTTGATCTTTTATGGAGTTATACGGAAATAAAAATGCGACACACTTTGTTACAAATTTTGCAAGGCTCCTCGACATAAATTAAAAATCGCACACAAATGCAGTTTACAGCATTTGAAAGTGTATATCTTTACCTTTAATTTGCGCACTTGTTGAGCATTTTGCGATTTTTTGTTATCGAGTTATTCAATGTTGAAGCATAAGGAACATTTTTACTTCAATGTGGAGTAACTCAGTGAAAAAAAATCGCATAATACTCAACGAGTGCGCAAATTAAAGCTAAAGATTCACG